CTCAAAACGTAATATTGTTAGGCGGTTGTGATGTTTTTTTTTGCTTAGATATCACACCTTTCTTGTCGTAAAGATATCTTATTTCAATGTAAAACGTACATCGTTTCTGATCGGGATGAAATCGTAGGTGCGTGAGGAACAAACTGTTTTCCCTGTTTCATTCGTTGTAACCCAGCAATTTGTTTTGTTACACGCTTTGGATCCAATGTAATCATGATAATTTTTCTCGCAAACATCCTTTACAGTTGGCTTCCGGTCTACAGAAGGAAAATTAGTGCACTGAGATTAAATTCAATGGTAAGTTTTTACCAGAGGCTTTAACACGCCCACTCTAACAAGTCTTTGTTATTTTGTTATGTCAGAACAAAGTCAAATCCTGTCTTGTATCCGTCTTCTTTGTGAGAAAGAAGCATTTGAAAGTAGCCTGAGTGGCAGAAGCAGTCACCTGTAGTCATGGCGACTGTCGATGAATCCCTCTTCTTCAGACTCGTGACAAATGTTAATACTAATTTGCTATAGAAACTAATGTACTAATTTACTATAGAAACTAATGTACTAATTTACTATAGAAACTAATGTATTAATTTACTATAGAATAATCGTAGAGGGACTGATGTTCTATTTCCGAGCTTTCACCAATAACGCTTCGAAACTGTAGGTACGGTTTAAAAATTTGGTTCCGCTTCGTAATGGGATCATTATGTCTGAGAACCTTTGCAACTCGTCGTTGCCAGCTGGATGCATATACAAAGTGTAAAGGCCTTGACTGTGCTGGATTTACTATCCAGTCCTTACAATGCTTCCCGAATTTGTGGATTATTTTTACATTTTAATGCAAAGTTGAATTCTCTCGAAAAACTTTCTGTCCCCTCGTTTGGACCAGACGCGTGTAGCATGTTGCCAGCTATTGACATGAATGAGTGGTCACGTTCGTCATTAATGAAGCCGTTTATGCGAACAAAAAAATGGTTTCGAGTTGAAAAACCACTAAGGTGATAAAAATCTCAGGAAGTATAATTTCTAAATTTCGACCAAATTCTTTGTTTCATCCAAATCAAAAGTCAGGACTTTTTTTAAAGATCACTACGAGAAGCAAAAGCATCTGAAATTAGCCTGAGCGATGGCACATCGCCAAAATCAATTATTCGCTAGCAGGACTGTCATTGTTTCTTTGATCGAATTTTAATGTAAAAACCAACTGCTGCATTTTTGAAACAGTTTTTACAAAAGAAACTAAAAAGCGTTTGAAAGAAAAATAATTGTTGCAAAGAGCTAACCAGCAAATGTCATGAACAACAGGTTACAGACTTGCGTAAGAACCATGATGAAGTAAACCAGTGTCAAGTAGTATATGTATTTACCGCACTTTTGTAAATCAGATATTTGGAAATCACTGGCTTCACTTGCTTTTGTCCCCGCCTCCACATCCTTCGACTCCTTCGACGTCATCTTTTGAGCTACAATTATCTCGCTTTAAACACTTCCG